ATTATTTATTATATATATATATATATATATATATATATATATAAAACATTAATTATAACATAAGCAATTAATTAATATTAATTTTTATTAATTTATAGTACAATTTATACAAATTACATAATAAAACATTTTTTAAAAATTAATTCTAGTAAAAATGAATCAAGATCAATTCATAAATTTTTTTTAAGATTTTCTCGATAAACCTCGCAAAATAGAAATTCGATGCATTGTTGTAATCATTGTTGTAATCACATTGTTGTAATCTCGTTATTTTATCTATTGGTATTAAAAATTGTTTCTTACCGAAGTATACTACACAGGAAGCACAAAATAAGAATAACAGACATTAATAAATTTGAAAATGAAAGATTTAATTATTTTATTAAAAATATGGTAAATAATAACATACCTTTGAGCGGGCTCTTTATTCAATGCGACATTATCCAGCAATGGAAAACTACGAAAATACGCGGCTCTATGAGGAACAATCTCCGTAGGTGGATTTGTTTCAAAGTCTATGTTAGTTAATCTCTGTTCGAGTATTTGTTGCGTATCTGTGATACTTGTGCAAGGTTCATATCGCATTGATCGTATAATGCTTTCCCCGACTTTCTTTCTAAAATACAGATTAAATCAAATGAAAATTAAAAAATTATTTATATTTTTAATTTCAATTAATTTTTAAGTGTCCAATTATTAACATAAATACAAATAAAAAGACAGATTATTATATCATTATGACTTACTTTAGAGCGGAGATCCTTTGATCGAAAACTTTAATATTACAATCGAGTTCGCTCCACGTTGACATCACTTTGCTGTCGACGAGAGAAGCAAACATCTGTGTTTCCAAGAATCTCGACAAAAACGGTAGATGTTGAGTCGGCTGGTCAGATAAAAATGTAGCCTTGTCGAAAACATGCATACTATCTCTATTGTTTATCCATTCATCCTTATCCTTCAAAATAAAATTGATTATAATTGATTATAATTTTATTATAAATTTAAAAGGCAAATCTTAATTTTATTTTACAGATATGTATATATGCTCGTACCTGACTTGGTTGAATAACAAAATGTTCGTAACTAGAAAACATTTGTACAAAACGATTTAAAAAGATCTCCCTAATAGCATTATTAAAGACAAGAGTTTCTTGATATTCCTCCTGCGGCGTGAGTATTTTATCCGCGGTATATTGTCCATCCTCTACAGGATCAATATCATCCATGTTCACTATGAGCACGAAAAAATTAAGAATTTAAAAAGAATTCTAATTATAATGTCTTACTATATATCAAAAGATTGTCTCACCTGTTCTCTTAACAATATCCACTATTCTTTGCAAATTGTCCGATTGTGGCCCTGGTTCCGGTCGATCCCAATCTAACACATCGTGCAAAGAATATTTTCTGCGAGGAATATGAAAACCAGAACCGGGAAGTGTCAGGCTGCTGGTCATGATGTCGCCATTATAATAATTAATAACCATATTATCAGTCCTATAAAATTTAGTTCGATTTAGATACAAAAAAATTTCCATCTCGATTTAAAGGTAGATAACTCACTTTCCCGAATGTGGTATTTTGTACTTATTTAGAAGCGCTCTGATCTCAGCAATAAATTGCATTTTATGAGGAAACACGGGTAATTCTTCTGGAAATTGGCTACTTTGTTTATCTATATCTACATAACAAAGGTTTGCCTGTAATCAAACATGATTGATATTTGATGATTCCTGGCTAATAATATACAATTGCCTTTATCTTTCACGAAATTGTCTTTATATTTTCAGATGTAATAAAAGGATAAGAATCTAATAAAATCTAGAAAAACGTACTTCGCTAGCGATTTTCAATACACCACCCTCACTGTGCGCATGCAAACCCATTATGAAGGGCACAGGTGCATCCAGAAAGTGATGCAGACTAGCGGGCAATATCGGCACGTAGACGTGTTGCCATGAAAAAGGAAACAGGAGCGCCGTTATACACTCGGATACCACCATCAGCTTGTGAAAATCAGCGCTCCTCAAGAGAACTTGGTTCTCCAACAGCACGCACGTAAATAATTGGATCAGACAGTCTGCACCCAACCATGTGAACACATCCTTGAGAGGATAATCCAACATCGGTAGCTCCAGCGATGGAGAAGGTTGATGGATAACTAGTTCTAGCGGCGATTTTGCCGGTTCATCATTAGGTATGAAAAACTTCAACGATTTGCCAGGTAACGGTACCGGTATGTTATACAGAAGATTATATACGTAAGATTCTAAACTAAGACCAGGTCCAGGATGTCTAGGAACACATCTGAAAAAAAATTCACCATGTCACACTCTCTAATGTTATCATAATATATAAATATATGTATATTAGATCGCTATGCATAAATTTTATCTGTCAGTTTCTCAATATAAAGATTATCTATCACTTCTGAGAAATCTCTGATAAATAATATGGTACTTAAATAATATAAAGAAAGTATAATATAAGATATTTTTATTAATTTATCATTGATTAAATATTCAATAGAAACCATAAAAATAGTTTAAATAATTATTGATTAAATGCAACAATATTATAATTATATTAATTTAAAACTATAATGCAAATAATGCAACACAACATTTGTATGGTGCTTGATAAAAATTTTGCAAAAGTTTGTAATTTGAAAATTCTGTATTAGAGCATAAACACAAATATTTGAAAAAAAGATTCAACAAAATATAAGATAAAAACACAAAAATATTCCTAACCATTAAATTTTATCTTTTAAATCCATTAACAGATAGAATGTATGCAGCGCTCTAGCATAACATTATACATATACATTTAAGTGCTCTTAAGGGAAGCAAAGCGTAGCACGAACGTTAGATATATAAGAAGAACAGAGTTGTGTCAGCTTGGAGCTTTACAAAGACTCGCGAGATATCTTACTTATAGAGATTAGTGAGGAACGTCTTTGCCGCATGGAGATAAGGCTGTTGGCATAGCAAGGATATTGATTTGGTCACTAGCAACTTGTCTTTGGTAGAATCATAATATCCTAACGCAGCACCGGGCGAATGAGCTGATAATTTAAAATGCCGTGGCAACGATCTCGTGTTATGTCCATCCTGACCCTTCCTTACACTGAAAAATTGCAAAACGTAAATTAAAGATACTGAGATACGAAGAATTCCATTGATATATGCTAGATAAATGTATTTCCCATGCATTGTGTCACATTTAAAATGATGACCTTTAATTTTTATTTTGAGTCCAATAGATTTCAAATAAAAATAAATTTTATTTTAATATCAATTAAGAGGAAAAATAAAAATCTTCCCAACAAGAAATTTAATGTTTAAAGAGAATCTCCGACTTTTATATGTAAAAAGAGGAATAGATGCTTAGATGAAAAGAGGAAATTAGGAATAGGCAATTGTTCGGAAAGCAAACGTACGTGGGGGGCGTGCCGTTTTGTCCGCTGCTGAGCTCCGTGATGTGCATCGCCTGTAGCGTTTGCATAGCGGCGCATATTTTGCGATTGCGGCACTCCTCGTAGAAAACGAGGCTGAACCCATATGTTCTGTGACCATCTTCTTTCGTGAGGACAAACGAGTGGAAGGTCGGCTCTACCGAGTGCTTTTGCGTACGAAATCGCAAACCGCTTGGCAGACAAAGCTATTATCAATGTAATCGATAAGTTACTCCCCTCAACTGCGCGAGACGTAAATGTTCCCTGAATCTAATTAGAACGTCGCTAAAAACACTTGGGCTACAGCAACATACGTACGTGATCCAAAGTGAAATTTATATTTTACATTTAATTATTATTAATTTAATTAATTAGCTTTTAATTTAATTATACAACAAATGTATACAAGTTTGTTGCAATGGATATTAATAAAAAATATTATATTTCGTCGCGCAATTATTGAATTTCTTGCACTTTTCGTAAGCGCAACGAATGAATTATATAGCGCATGTAGATTTACATTCATTATTACTTTATAAGCACGCGATGAAATCGTAATTAGCAATTAATTGTCATAACGTACCATACAGACAGCGTGTTCGTCGAATGGATTCCATGGTACCGAGTCTGGATAATGTCCTAATACTTTGCTCTTGTATGCTCGATCCAAGGGTGTGCACTGCAATGAGTCACCTGCAAAAACAGCAATCAAATGAGACTTAATACTCTTCGTAAATAACAAGTATCGTTCTCTCTCCCCCCTCTCTCTCTCTCTCA